TGATTGCATTTGCAGACAATGGCAGCGACGAAGCGCAACGCGGGGCTGACATCCGCCGTTCCCAGAGCTTCCCTTAACGACGAGGAATTGGTTCGTTATTTCATTTATTTTTCTTTTTAACTTTACTTCCGATCGATTTGTATTCATTGGAAATATTGTGGTTATTAAAGAAAACACACGTCTATAAGAAAACACTTCAGGCTTTAATTTATCCGATTTCGAGTACAACGCCTCATAACTTCCAGCCCTGGACTGCTACCAGTCCTACCTATTGCTACGAATGCGAGGGATTGCTTTGGGGAATCGCCAGACAAGGCGTCCGGTGTACAGAATGTGGGGTCAAATGTCACGAAAAGTGTAAAGACTTATTAAATGCCGATTGCCTTCAAAGTATGTGAAACTATGCTTTTAATGACACCAATTGTGTGACAATTGTCTCATTACTGATTGTCTTGATGTAACAAAACAGGAGCGGCGGAGAAGAGTTCAAAACACGGCGCAGAGGATAAGGCGAACAATATTATAATGGCTATGAAGGACAGGATGAAAGTGAGGGAAAGGGATAAACCGGAGATATTCGAGTTGATCAGGTATTCAGTGATTAGAGTTAGAAAAATGTTTTAAACATAACAAGAATAAGTGCACAAATGAGTGAAAGTTTGGTTAAAGTGGTAAATATGATGATAAGTAAAGAGATTTGTCGTATTCAGGGATGTGTTCAGTGTTGACGAAAAGAGCCATTCGGGTCATATGAAAGCCGTCAAACAGAGCGTTCTCGACGGCACTTCCAAATGGTCGGCCAAAATAGCCATAACCGGTAGGTATTGTCGGTCACAGCCACAGATGAATCATGTGTTCAATTGGGCTCTATATTCAATGTATTTCCATCCATTGACTGCATCTCAATGTTTGAAAGTTGTCTACCATTCCAGCTGTTCCTTCAATGTTGTCGAAGTGTTGCACTTATTATTGGCTTTAATTTAAACCATTTTACGTACGCATGAGTTGTTGTCAATGTCGTGAGTCCTGTATTTGTCTAAATGTTAATTTAGGGTCACTTTTGGTATACATCCCGACACTCATATCGATGAGATGCAAAAGTCTGAGGCAGTAATGCTTGCCGGCAGCTGGTCTGCTAAGATTGCCATCACAGGCATGTATTTGTCGTTTCTGTAATTTCTGTCACTTGTTGCCACTCAACTCAGTCTTGTGTCTGTACTGACCCATGAGATCTCATTTATGGCTCATTCCTCACATGTGATTGTTTTGAATATTTATTCAAATGGTTTCAATTGCTAGTGATCTGCGCTCAGGGACTCATTGCCAAAGATAAGAGCGGAACGAGTGATCCTTATGTGACCACTCAGGTCGGGAAGACCAAGAAGAGGACCCGTACTATATCTCAAGACCTCAACCCCGTCTGGAACGAGAAGTTCTTCTTCGAGTGTCATAACTCTTCCGACAGAATCAAAGTGAGGGTTTGGGATGAAGACAATGATCTCAAGTCGAAATTGCGACAAAAGTTGACCCGAGAATCGGACGACTTTTTGGGGCAAACCATTATAGAAGTGAGAACTTTGAGCGGAGAAATGGATGTCTGGTATAACCTGGAGAAGAGGACCGACAAATCTGCCGTTTCCGGTGCCATACGTCTGCACATCAGTGTTGAGATCAAAGGCGAAGAAAAAGTAGCGCCTTATCACGTCCAGTACACGTGTCTTCATGAGGTCTGTCCACCCATTCACATGTGCTTCCCTTCTGTCCGTTCTTTCATTGCATTTGTCTTTTATTTGGTTCAGAATTTATTCCATTATTTATGCGAAACTCAAAACAACGGTGTCGTCCGACTGCCCGACGCTAAAGGGGTGAGTCTTTCCTCTCATCTTTTTATTCATTCATTCAATTCCAGTAATTCTTAGAACTTAAACAGAATATTCATATAGAAATCAATTAAGAGCAAGGTCTGTCTTTGAATTATTGATGATAATTATTAAGTAAACAATTATGTATATAATGTTGCACTCAAACAGCATATAAACATAATGATAGAATATATTTAAAATATTATCTTCAGAGAAAAACGAATAATATATTGTATTAAAAGTTAGAAGTTTTAAATATTTGAAGAATTTGAATATTTATATAGTAACAATTTTAAAAAATAGATCTACAGTAGAATGTCTTGTAACCAAAAAAGAAGGCAAAATGAAATCATATTTATTGATTATAAAGTATAATTTATACCATACCGTAATTTTATATATTATATGTTATATTACATTATATCATTGACATTTGAAATGATCTTATACCGACTCGTGAGTCATTTACAGTATGAGAATATATATAACATTTTTATCTTATATTATCATCAAGTCTTCTCATTAAGTAATATTATTCCCAATGCTATGTAATTTAGTTCTCTAAATATTAAGTAAATCACTTTAGCATACTACTGTTTATAAATATTACTGATATATTGTATTTGCAAATATATCATCAAGTCTTCTCATTAAGTAATATTATTCCCAATGCTATGTAATTTAGTTCTCTAAATATTAAGTAAATCACTTTAGCATACTACTGTTTATAAATATTACTGATATATTGTATTTGCAAATATTTATTATCATATTAGTCATATTAATGGTAATTTCAAAAATTTCAAAATAATGTATATCTATACAACATCTATAATACTACATAAACTCTGATTCGAATAAAACTATTTACTGACTATTGGAATATAATTACTGTACTTTTGATTGAATAACACTTTTGCGAAAATTTTGAGTTAAAATAGAAATAATATATCTCAATTTTTATATTTGATATGCGTTTTTAAAATTGATAAGTAATATAAGTTAATACTGATTAAGTAAATTATAATAAATATGATTAATTATTAAATAACTATCAATTTCCTGTTTCTAAATACTATCGAGTTAGAAGTGTAATAAATACTAAGCTTGAACCAATTGATCACCAATAAGGTTTTGATAGTAGTACCGTAATTAATATAACACGATAATATATAGATATTAGGTAATTAATATAATTTCTTTTGTATATTTCTAAATTTTCTAATATAGTATTTTGAAATTATTTCTAACATTACAGTAATATAAAAATGAATACGTTTTTATAATTAACTTAAATTTCATAATTAAAATAATCTAAAATCATTAAATCAATAGATTAACGTTATTTAATAATTAATATAATTTATTTGGTTTAATACCTTAATGTGACTACTATGTGAATACTGTATAAGTCTGAAAAATGTTATAAGTTTTTGATGAAATATAAATTATAATAATTGAAAGAGACGTGAAGTGGGGTTTGAGTTCAAACACAGAATTGATTTATTTGAGAAGAGAGTGAAGTAAAGTGTGTTCAGCTATGCACTCAATTTTAATGTATTTTTAAAGAGAACTTCAATTTGAAGTGTTTGACAAAAATCAAAAATATATTTATATAAAATGAAATATAGCTTAAGTGTTATAATCATCAAATGTGCAGAATTTCAATTTGTTGGACAAGTTTTACAATTATTATATTTTTATCAAACAAATAATTTTTGAAATCTTTAGAAAAGTAATGAAGGTTTTAAATTTATTTGTTAATATAATAGAAATGAATTTGATTTATATTTTAGAGATAATGTTGTCAAATTTAATGCAATATATTTCAGTCACATAAACACACTGCTAGTTGTTGTGTAATACATTTAAAGCATCACCTTTTTATGCTCCAATTATTTTTATTTTTAATACATTTTTATCTATATTTCATTTTGTTTATATTCATTACGCTCTATGTTTAAGAATAATGTTTTTGATCATTAAAGTCATAAAACGAAAATATTATTTTTT